CTGGCCTGGAGGTGGCCACAGCAGAAAGGGGGGGGGGCTCGCGCCTCCTGGGCCAACTGGAAGAAGGTGGGCTACCTGCTTAGTGACGCTAGACCCTGCGGCTGGGACCCTGGTTGGCTGTGGCCTTCCTGGAGGGTGTGTATCACCTACACTTCTCACTTTTCCTTGATCCCTCTTGCCCTTTCCTCAGATGAGATAACCATTCCCACAATGGTAGGAAACCCCGTCAGCGTAAATCAACAGATTCTCTAAAGATTAATGAGTTTCCTCCGGAAGGAGCAGAAACACTGCAATCCAGGGACACACCTGCCGTGATACGCAGGGGGACCGCGGGCTACCCAGGGAGGCAAAGAAAAGCAGGGTTTTCTAAAGGCAAAATGAGGACGATTGCACACGTTGTTTTAAAATAATAATCCGTGGTTACAAGAATTAATAACAAGGGTACTGTCAGCCCAAGTTTGAACAGGCAGTTGCTGGGCAGATGCCCTCATAGAGGGGACCTTTGTGCGAGGTTGTGGTTTGGTGGAGTCTCTTGCAATAGTTCCTGATATCAGGCAAATTGTTCCTGAAGGCCTCTCCCTCGTGGCCTTTTGGCCACATTTTGTTTGCTTTTGATGTAAGTGACTACATTTCAGTACTGACAACTTTCACATCCCCCACCCCAAACTTCAGTTGTCCCCAGGCTAAAGTCTCAGCTTCCACACGGCCCTTGCCTCTTCTCTTAAGACCCTCGGTCCCTGTCCTGTCTATACTTCACCCTTTGCTTGTTTCCAGACTGGGGAACATGCAATTTTCTCTGCTTGGAACATTCTTCTGTTCCCCAAATGCCCCTTGCCCTGCTTACTCCTACTTATCCTTCAGGTTTCTTCCTGTCACCTCCTCCAGGAAGCCTTTCCTGCTTCTCCTCCCAGAGCAGTCTGCATGTCCCCTATCCGGACCCTCCCCATTCCTCCAGTCAGGACTGAAAACTTTGCAGAGGGCAAGGACCATTTCTGTCCTACCTGTTCCGCAGGCTGGTGTGTGGCGCAAACAGTAAGTGCTTCATTGGTATTTGCAGAACAAATCAAGAAAAGGAAAGCTCTGGCCGGCCCGGTGGCGCACTGCTACAGTTCACCGCTTGAGAGCGCGGTGGCGCTCCCGCCGAGGGTTCGGATCCCACATACAGACCGGTTCCCGCTCACTGGCTGAGCGAGGTGCTGGAGCAACACTGAGGGTTGCGATCCCGTTGCCGGTCCGGGTCCGGTACGGGCGCAACACTGAGGGTTGTGATCCGTTGCCGGACACGAAAAAAAGACAAAAAGGAAAAAAAAAAAAAGAAAAGGAAAGCTCCATGTAGTAAAATGTCTAGCCAGGTGTTTATTATTTTATTACATTCTTTCCATTGCACGATTCCACATGTATTAATTTTCACTTTTCTTCCTTTTTTCTTTTCTTTTTATTTTTTAACAAAGGTTCAGAGAATTTCAGAAGCAACATTAAAACAATCATTCAAACTGTTTCAGGCACGGTTTCCTATTAAAAGCATAGATCAATTTCTGACTTCCTGTTTCTCTCTATGATACAATCTCAAGTTTTGTTCCAGGAAGCACAATTATTGTAGCGATAAGGTGGTCACCCCCTAAAGCTCATCTCTGAGTGCTGTCCTTGTTCTCAGAAAGTTCCTGAGTCAACAGAAAGGGGACTCCCAGGGTATGGAGTAAGGAGCCAAATGCACACACTGCCGATTGGCTGGACCCTGCAAATGCTGGGCAAGTTTCACGTCATCAGCTCAAGAACATAAACAAAAACGTAATTTAAAAAAAAGATGGCTTAAAAAAATATCTGATAAAAATTACCTATCCCTCTCCCTTGCTGTGAAATAATTTAAATAATTTATTCTAGATGTAAAAAAAACAGAAAAAGAAAAAAAGGAAACAAGTTTATTCAAAGATGCCTGTGTCCTGTTTTTAAGTGTGAGGTCTGGGTCCCTTAGGGATGGGGAGAGCTTGAGAAGGGCTGGTGCTGTGCAGAGGCATGCCGGGAGCTCTCTGAACTCAACCCTACCTCCACCACTTGGCAGCCAGTGACCTTGGACAGGATGTTTCTTCACTTCTCTGCAGCTAGGTCTTCCCTTCCGAACCTGGGGATTAAAAAGCCTGCCTGACCTGTCTCAGAGTGGCATGTGTCAATGAGTGGAGGTGGGAGGGCTTTGTAAACTGTGCAGTGCTGGCCACAAATAAGGTGGGAGAGGTAGCCCCATCCAGTGGAACTCTGCTTCCCTGACAGTGCCTGGGACTTGGGCTTTTGCTCTGGAGCACACTAAGGCAAGCTTGGCTGGTGCTTCAGGCGGGAGTCCCAGGGACTGAGTAAATGAAGAATGAGACAAGGAACAGGGATGTCTGGCCTGTGCAGACAAAGGGAATCAGTCATGGCCAGGGGAAGGCGCAAATGGGAACACAGAGCCCCCATCATGCTGCAGCTGAGGGTCCTGGAGATCTTGGGGGAGGGTTTGGGACAATACTTCTTGACATTTTAGGAGCCAGCAGCCAGGACTTAAGAGGACCTGGGGTTGAGTCCGAGCTCCTGTCTGGCACTCATTGTCCTCTTCATCTTTCCTCCATATGGCTATAGATGGACTTGTCCCATGGGTTTCCATCATCTCTGTATGGCAGAATCACCTGGGGAGCTTATATACAGAAGTCCAGGCCCTACTCTGGAGACTCAGCCTCAATCAGTCTGGGATGGGGCCTGAGTGTCTCTATTTCCTGAATGCTCCCAAGGAGACTCTAATGTACAGCTTGGGTTGAAACCTAGTAGGCTAGGCGGCCTCCTGCAGTACCCATCTTGACTCCAGAATCATCCTGTGCAATGGAGGAAACTTACTGTCTGCCCTTCCTTGGTAAGCAGGAACAGACTTCATTTCTCATCATTCCCAGTCTCTTGCTGGGCTCTTGTATTGACCACTGAGAAAGAAAGAACCTTACAGCAGGGCTCAGAACACAGATTCACAAAGGAGGGATGCAGAAAAACTTAGGGCCAGGAGGGAACTTCAGGGCCATCTGATCCTACTTACCTAGTGCAGTCATCCCTCTCCAGAAGCCCTCATGGGTGGATGGCCAGGGGGCTCTGCTGGCATACCACTCAGTGCTGGGGGCTCTCTACCTCCTGGGGAGGGCCTTTTCTGTTAACCTGGGCTGACATCTGTTCACATCATCCTGGAGGAGGCAGGCTGTGTACCCAAGGGCCTTGGTGGTGGCAGTCAGCAGTCGTGGGCACGGCTCTGTGTCTGCATCCCCACAAAGTGGACAGTGTCTATCCACATCTCAATGATTCTTGTTGAAGTGGATTGTTCCAACCTCCTGTCTGTGTTCTAGAATTGGGCTGAATCCCTCTGGCCCTTGGCCAGTATCTGGGAATTTCTGCAGCAAACCCAGATTATCACCCCACATGTGGTTTTCCTCAGGTGGCAGATCCTGTACAGAGGGCAGCTTGTTCCAGGATCCCTTTGTTCAGATGGAGAAATTGAGATCAGAGAAGGAAGTCCTTGCAAGAGGCTGCTGAGCAAGTCGGGCACAGATGAAGCCAGAACCAATGGATTCCTTCTCTGTGCATCAGACCAGAATCAACAGAAAGACAGATCCAGGAGACCAGGATCACAGCCCAGTCCAGCCAGGAAACAAATCTCACTTGCCTCTCTCTGGGCCTCAGTTTCCCCACCTATAAAATGAGGGAGTTGGGCTAGATCACTGGTTTTCAAACTACTAAGAATGTTTTTAGTAGCAGAACTATGTATTCCATAGTAGCCTGATAAATAAAATGGATAGAAGGGGAGCTATCTGGTTGGAATGGGGTGGGGATGTGGGGAAGGGGAGACAGCCCTCCTGCTTAGCCTTCCCTTTATTCTATGGACCATGGTTTGAAAATCACAGGCAGGTTACCTCCTAGATCCTTCCAGCTCTACCTTTCCACAATGTTCTTTCCCCTTGAGAAGTTATAGCTCATCATGGACCCTTAAAAACAGAATTAAACAGGAGGCAAGGTATCGTGTAAAAACAAAGTCAGTTCAGAAACTGTTGTTGCAAAAAGGCAGATAGAAAAACGGCACCACGTCCCACTGGAATCTCTTTCAGCGACTGAGAGTTTCATTCTCTGGTAAAAAATATAGAAATAGTGGTTGTTCTCGGGGGACTTGTGGTTTGGTTCTGAACCTCCCCATGGAGCCAAGTGGTGTCCCTGAGGGTGAGGACGGTAGAAATCTCTGCTTAGAACTGCTCTGAGCCCATCCGCAAGTTTTTGATCTCCAGTTCCAACTGTTTGGCCTGGACCTCTCGCTGGGTCAGCAGCTCCCGAAGCCTTCGGATCTCCTCCTGTTGCCGATAGAACATCTGCAGCAGCTGGGAAAGCAGACACCAGAGGGCACGATCACCTGTGTGTCCTGGGACGCGAGTGGGAAGGACACCAGCAGAAAGGCTAAAACACTACCCTGTTTTGCCTCAGACAAGTGGAGGTGATGAAATTAACGTGGCTGAGTCCTGAGGGGACAGTCATTCCATAGATCTTTCACAGAAACCTTGTTTATTGCACCCAATAAATGAAATTCAAAAAGTCTTGAATGTTTCAGGCATATTTTGCCTCCATAGATCCCCCATGGGATGGAGGAAAGGATAGTTGGCCTTGAAGTCTGGAGACTGGTGTTTTCATCACTACTAAACGGTTAGCAAGTTACTTATCCTCTCTGAGTTTCAATTTCCTTCTCTGGGAACTGGGGTCAGAAAACTAACTTCATCACCGTCATAATTGTTGCCACTGTACAGAATGGCTGTTAGATGTTGGGTGCTCTCCTAAGGACCTTTGCTATCCCACTGGATGTTCATGACACCCCTATGAGGATGGTAGTGTTAGTACCCCACTTTACTGTGGCAACTGAAGTTTAGAGACATTCAGCCACCAGGTCTGAGGCCCTGGAGTGAGTACTCAGAGACAAGGTCAGAATCCCTCTGGGAGACGCCAGACCTTGTGTTTCTAAACACTACATACCGACTTCCAGGGCTGGTGGGAGAATTCAGCCACATGCTATATTAAAGTGCCTACCTTGGGACCTGGCACACAGGAGGCACTTAAATGTTGACTCTGAAAGCACAGAAAATCCTAGAACATCAGAACTGGAAGGGACTTTAATACCCACCAGGTCAAACCCTCTGCAGATACAGAACTATTTACAGATGGCTCCCCACCATCTGTATGTATACCCACCATCTTGGCATACAGGTGGTGCTCATTGACCGTTTGTTGAGTGAATCAACAAAGTGAGTTGAGCTACGAGGCCAGGCCACACAGCTGCTTATTTTCCCCTCCCTTTCTCCCTCCTTCTCAGCCCTTCTTCTGTAGGGTGGGGTTGGAGAGGGGTGCTGATCCCCCCAGATGCCCCCCATGAATGCCCACCCCACCCTCGTTCACACCTCGTTCTCTGTCTTTGGTGGAGGGCATTCAAATATGTCGGTGGGGTTGGAGAGGGGTGCTGATCCCCCCAGATGCCCCCCATGAAGGCCCACCCCACCCTCGTTCACACCTCGTTCTCTGTCTTTGGTGGAGGGCATTCAAATATGTCAAAGCCGTTTGTGAACCAGGATTTCTTCTCCTCCAGCTTGTGTTCTGCTGCCCACCTCGGCGCCTTCTCCAGCCGGGAGAAGGGCCTCTGGCCATCCTCTGCAGTCAGCTTCTCTGTCTGGTCCAGCAGCTGGGGCGAGGCCAGGGCCACAGAGTTGGAGATGGGTCTCTCTGAAGGCAGTGGCAGGGGGCTCAGCAGCTCGGAGCCAGGTCTAAGGGACACCAGGACTGGCCCTAAGAGGGAAGCAAAGAGCTGTGGGAGGACTAGAGGCCCATGAGCAGGTGGCATGAGGCGGCACTCACACAGGCAGGCACTTGGAGACACAGGCAGACACACAGGTGCACACAACAGGTGAAGGAGAAACAGCCACAGGTAGACAGGCATAGACCCACAGACCAGGGCACGTGGATACAAATGCCCACGTGTGCAACTATCTAAGTGCAGCTTGGTTTGTAGGAACAGTATGGGGTGTGCACCGGAGCTGCCCCCAAACTCTGCTTTGTAAGGACAGTCCCACCCACATTGCACTGGGCCATCTCCCAAGTTTATTAATTCTCCCAACACGCCCAGGAAGCAGGGGAGGCAGACATCACAGACAGGGATGAGGAAACTGAGGCTCAGGGAGGGCGAGACCTGTCTAAGGGTTTACAAAACCGGGACTTGCCACTCAGGCAGAGGCTCTTGCAGTCCACTGGCGGGGCGGGGTGTGTGTGAAGGAAATGGCAGGGAGGGAGAGGGCGTTGCTGGGGCAGGTATGGGAGCACACATTGCTCCTTCTGCTGGGCTGGCCCCTGGGTTGACAGGAGAGGGCCAGTGAGTCAGGCCAGGCAGGGTGAGCCAAAGAGCCTGGGTGGGGCTGCTGCCTAGAGGGTCTCTTGGGTCAAAGAATAACTGCAGAGGTAGGGGTGAGGGAACAGGCGGAGGGACTCTGGCTGAGAATATCCAGTCACCCTGTACAGACCCAGAGGGTTGTACAGCTATCCACTCTGCCCAGAAGGCCCTCTCTCCCAGAGGGTAAAGAAGGTTTTCATGGGGCAAGATCCCTTGAGTTGGTTGGAGTTTTCTGAGCTACTTGGGACAAGCTCCTGCCTTCCTGGACCTGCATGTGACCATCCTAGCCACTGGGGACTAACTGTTAAGGGCCTGTCCTCTGAGGTTACAGGAGGATAAAGAGACAGGCCAAACCTGTCCCAGCTACTTGGAGCCACTGGGCATTCCACATTCCCACTGCATTTGCCTGAGGCCTTTCCTCCACTTTCCTCACCTCTATTCATCCCACTGAGCCACTCCTGGGCCGTCATGGAAGGCTGGGCCCCTGCCGTTGGGGGGTAGATGTCCTCTTGGTAGGATTCCGACTGCATTCCCACTGCATTTGCCTGAGGCCTTTCCTCCACTTTCCTCACCTCTATTCATCCCACTGAGCCACTCCTGGGCCATCATGGAAGGCTGGGCCCCTGCCGTTGGGGGGTAGATGTCCTCTTGGTAGGATTCCGACTGCAGGAGAAGTCCAGACAGTGAGGAGCGGGGGGAGGGTAAGCTGCCCAAGATGGAGGGCCCTGACCCCTGCTGAATCGAGGAAACCGAGGCCCAGAGAGCAAAGAGATTTGCCCAAGGTCACACAGCAGCTCAAGAGCAGAGGTAGGACGAGACCCGGGACTCCTGGCTCCCGGAAACATCTCACTGACCAGGAGAAAGGCCTTCTCCTGGAGGAGTGGCCCTCGGCCTCCCTGTGGCTGCTCTAGGAACATGGGCTCCAGGCTCTGGGACTGACACCCCTGGGTCTGTTTTCTCCAGGATGGGTTCCCCACCTCCCTCCCAGACAGCCCCTACCGCCCTTACCCGCCGGGGCACAATCATAGATATGGGCTCGATGAGGCTTTTGGTTGTGATCAGCTTGTAGAAGCGGAAGATCTCGCAGGAGGACACATCAAGACCTCTCTTTGGCATGACACCTGTGGGCAGATGGCCAAGGAGGGCCAAGAAGTTCCAGCTGGGATGGAAGCCCCAGGGACCCAGTGTGAGTGGCAAAGGCAGGCTGCACACCTGGATGTGAACGGAGACTGCCCTGCCCTACCTCCATCCCTCAACAAACAGCCCGTGAACAAATACCTACACTGGGCTGGGCCTGTGCTGGACAAGTGCACTTGAAAAAATCAAACTCTGTCTCCACTTTCAAGGCTTTAAATTATTTTAGCTAGACCCTTCTAGGCAGTTTGCTGTGCTCAAAGCTTCCCGTCTCCATCCACACAGCTCCTGTGTCCCAAATGCCCTTCCTAGCTACTCCAGCTTTCTTTGGATTGGTGTTAGCATGGTATATCTTCTCCAGCCCCTTTAAATCTAGCTGTCTCTTTATGTTTAACATGAGTTTCTTATAGACAACACATAGTTGGGTCTTTTGAAATCCCCAGATACTCTTAAAAAGGAAATGGGGATTTCTCCTTGGAGGCTTTTTTGGGTCAGCCCCTTCCATTTCCCTGCTGTTGCTGTAACTGCTTAACCTTGACCCAGAACACTTTCTTCTCTCCCCACACTGTGCTCTGCTTCCTCTTTCAGCTTCTCAAATGTTGCCTCGTCCAGGAAGCCTTCCCAGACTTCCTCCTCTCTGCTGCTGCACCCCTCAAGTACAGCCCCCATCAAGTCAGAGTGTTGCTGAGCCATCTCCCTTCCTGTCTGACTCATCCCTGTCTCCCCAGGCCCAGCACTGAAGCCCGGACCCCAAGTGGCCCCGGTGTCCCGCACTCACCAATCCCCTTCTGCGGGTTATAGGAGCGGTATTCAGTCAGGTAGCTCAAGTAAGGCCTGTCGGCGCTCACCTCGTAGTAGCGGATGTTCCCGTCTCCCTGAGGAGGAGGAGGAGGAGGGTGAGATTCAGAGCTGGTGCCCATCAGCAGCCCTCCTGGGCACCACTGCCATGTAGCAAATCCTGCCTTTTGCAGTGATCAGTTGGCAAACCCACCTCCCACAAGGGAACCCCTGGGAACTCACAGCCTGTCACCAAGGCAGGAAGGGGGGTCCTCATTTTAATGCTCAGTCCCCCCAATCAGGACCCCAAGACACCCTCATTCCTCCATGCAGAAGCTCTGAGAACATGGGCCCAAATCCCACTCCCATCCGAGAGCTGCACATGGAGGCCAGAAATGGCGTGTCCTCAGAGACCACCCAGTGGGTCTTACCCCTGGGGGACATTTCTTGTTGTCATAATGACTTGGCAGGGTGGGGAGAAGAGTGCTCTTCCTGGCATTGGTGGTTAGGGGCCAGGGATGCCAAATATGGGATAGTCCTACCCAATGAAGACCTATTCTCCCCAAAATTCAGAACGGCCCTGCTGAGACACACCAACTGGTTCTTCCTCATCTGGACCCAGAGTTGGGGAGGTACTAGTTCAGGGATCCAGCCACAGCTCTGGCCCCTGGTGTTCCTTGGGAGGTGGGAGTGGGGTGATGTTCCACAGGGGAAGAGTGGCCATGACTCTTGCCTGTCCCTGCCCTGCACCTACGAGGGCCCCAGATGCTGTCTGGCCACCAGTGGGACTAGGTGTGAATATTTCTTTTCTTTCTTTTTTGTTTTTTTTGGGCAGTTCCCATCTCCCAGCTCCACACCCTGCCTTGTGGCAGTGGTGGGAATGCAGATGCCTATCTGGCCACCAGTGGGACTAGGTGTGAATATTTCTTTTCTTTCTTTTTTGTTTTTTTTGGCAGTTCCCATCTCCCAGCTCCACACCCTGCCTTGTGGCAGTGGTGGGAATGCAGATGCCTAGGCTCAGATATTTCTGCCTCCTGCCTCGGGGGGTCCAGGTGGCCACCACCCTCCTGTGCCAGGCTGACCTTCCCCACCACGTAGAGCATGTAGGTGTCTGCATCGTAGAAGGGAAACAACACGCCTGAGGAGCCATCCAGGTCCTCCTCTGTGACAGGTACAGAGAGGTCATCCTGCAAGGGAAGGGGAGACCACGAAGGCTGATGAGTCACTCCTGGGGGACCTCAGTGGCGCACTCTGGGATAAGAATTCTGCCATGGGGCTCTGGGTTTGTGTGTGTGTAAGAGAGAAAGTCTGATCTTGTGTGTATGTGTGAGGGAAAGATGTCCCTGCTTGAGGGAAGGCTGATGAGTCACTCCTGGGGGACCTCAGTGGCGCACTCTGAGATAAGAATTCTGCCATGGGGCTCTGGGTTTGTGCGTGTGTAAGAGAGAAAGTCTGATCTTGTGTGTATGTGTGAGGGAAAGATGTCCCTGCTTGAGGTCCAATCTGTGGGCTACTCTCTGGTGTAGGTGACACTTTGGTAATTTTGGGGGGGAGGGAGGCTGGCCAGTACAGGGATCAAACCCTGGACCTTGGTGTTATCAGTGACATGTTCTAACCAACCAAGCTAATCAGCCAGCCCAGAGGTGGTAGTTTTAAAGGCACTGAAACACCACCGCCACCCACTCTGTCAGCCTTTTGCCCTTGGCCAATCAATTTGGACACACCTGGTCTCTTTTCAATCCTCCCCCACCTGTTTTTTAAAAATATATTTTAATAGATGAAGGAGGAGACTCAGAGAGGGGAAGTGATTTGTCCAGTCTCCGAAACTCCTGCAAAGTGCTCCCTACAACTGTGCTGCTTGGCCTAGCCCTTGGCTGCCCTGATGACAAGCTCCTCCTGCCCGGCCCCCTTAGCATTTCATCTCAGGCCTTTGCTCCAGCTATCCACTCTGCCCAGAAGGCCCTCTCTCCCTCTGCTGTTCCCCTTCATCCTCGTCCCAGATTTAGCCACCTCCCCTCCCCTACACCTGGGCCTCTCCTGGGTCTTGACTCATCTCCCTCCTTGAATGACAAGATGCACAAGGGGTGGTCGGCATCTCCCTGACACTCGCACTGGATACCCAGCACCTGCAGACTATGCTAAGTAGGTGTGTGAGAAATGAATGAATGAATGTGTGAATGAAGCCAGCACTCGTAGCTGAGGCGTGACGGTGAGAGGTGGCAGTGGGGTGCGTGTGAGATTCACCTGGTCCCACAGGGCCATCTGCCGGTTGTTCCATCGGGATGTGCCCGTGGACAGCAGCTTCTTCAGATTCCCCAGAAACAGCACTTTGTTGGCTCGGTGCCCCTTGTAGTTGGCTTCCTGTAGGGACATATGTGGTAGGTGTCACAGAGATGCTGGGAGAGGACTCCCTGGTGACAGCTGGGGTTTCTGGCCTCCCTGCTTTGCTTATGCTGCTGCTCCACCTGGAACACCTCCCTTTCTCACCCAGCTGTGCCTGAAGGATCCTCCAGGGGCACTACCTCCAGGAAGCCTTCCTGGGTCGCTCTCATCCACATGGAGTCTCTCCCCAGTATTTTTGTTAAGCATTCTAGTAATCCCCTGAGAAGGACTAATAGCCCATTGCTGCAGATGAGGAGACAGAGGCTCAGAGAGCAGAAAGCACCTGCCTAAGGGCACACAGTGGATAAACGGTGGTACCCTCAGGTCTCCCGGCCCTAGGGCCAGTGACAGAGCGGAGGCACACCAACGAGCTTTGCAGTTAGGCCAGGTTCAAACCCCAGTTCTCAGTGTGGATAAGTCACTTGACATCCCTTCGGCCTCAGTTTTCTCATCTAAAAAATGGAGATGGCACATCCTACCTCCCAGCAATGCCGAGAGGACCAGTGGAGATACTAGTGTAGGGCTGGCCAGATGCAGACAGCGTTACTGTCCTCTTCTCAGAAGCCTCTCCCAGCCCCACTCTGCCCCTTGTTCCTCCCACCCCAAGCCAGACCCTGGCCCAACAGTGACCTGGAGGACGGTCCCTGCTCGGGGGTCAAGAATCCGAATCTTGCGATCTTTACAGGAGGTGGCCAGCAGGCTGCCGTTGGTGTTGAAGGACATCGAAAGGATCACATCTTGGTGACAGTTAATTATCCTCACAGGGCTTATGATTACAGGCTCCTGTGTATCCAGGTTCCAGACCATCACCTGCAAGGCAGAGAGCCAGCTCTGAGCACAGCGGCCACCCCCCTACCTGGGGCCCCCAAAGTTACACGCCGAGCCACAGTGAAACATGGTATCCCCGGGAGGGAAGCCACAGCTGGCAGCCTGACCAAGAAGGCTTGGGTGGGAGGATGGGTCTGCCGGTGGAAGCTGCAAGTGGCAGAAGGGGAAAGCCAGAAGTCAGGCTGTCTAACAGTGAAAGGAAAACACCATCTGCGTTTGAGCAACAAAACATCATGCTGGGAGAACCCCAGGGGACAAGCTAACCCAGGGGGTTTCAAACAGTTATTAGCAGCAGTTCCCAGGGCTGCCATGTTTAGCTGCACAGACTGTGCACTGCACAGCTCCAGTGCAATCCATTCCCATAGCCCATGATGTGAATAGCACCCCCTGGAGTTATATATAGAACCACATGCAGCAGCCCTGCAGATATACCCTCCATAAACAGATAAAGGAGCACTTCTGACCTGAAAGTGGTGGAAGAACCAGAGCCCTCCAACAGCTCCCGCCCCACCCTTTATCCATCACTCAGGGCCCTGAGGTGACTCCGAAAACTCCTACAGAGTTAAAGGGAAGAGTTAAAAAGCCACAGCTATGGTCCCACCAACCCTATTTGTGTACAGCCTGGGAAACTGAGGCCCAGAGCAGACAAGAGAGTTTCCCAGATCATACTGCCAGTTACAGATTAAATTGGGATAGAATCTAGGTCTCCTGTACCACAAATTTTCCCAATCCACATGGCCTATAGCCTGCTTGCTTGGTAGTCAATGGGCAGGAGGAAGATTCTCTGGGCAGTACCCAGCCCATCTCCTCCAGGCAGATTATAATGGGTTGAATAGTGTCCCCCCAAAACTCACATCCACTTGGAACCTCAGAATGTGACCTTATTTGGAAATAGGGTCTTTGCAGATAAAATTAGTTAGGATGAGGTCATAATGGATTAGGTCGGGCCCTAAGTGCTATGACAGGAGTCCTTGTAGGAAGAGGAGAGGACACAAAGACACACAGGCAGAAGGCCAAACAAAGACAGAGGCAGAGATTGCAGTGATGCAGCTACAGACCAAGGATGCCTGCAGGCCCCAGAAGCTAGAAGAGGCACGGCAGGATTCTTCCCCAGAGCCTTTGGAGACAGCATGGCTCTCCCAACACTTTGGTTTTGCATTTCTGGGCTCCAGAACCATGAGAGAACACATTTCTGTGGTCTTTAGCTACCCAGTTTGTGGTCATTTGTTGGGGCAGCTGCAGAGAACTAATAGCAGACTCACCTTGTAGTCATAGCCGGCGCTGAAGAGGATGTTGGCAGCCGTGGGGTGCCACTCCACCAGGCCCACTCTGCGTGCATGGCCCAGCAGCTCCTTCCTGCAGGCTGTGAGGTTCCTCGCCAGCAGCTGCTTGGGGATGCTCCAGATCTTAATCTGGCAGGGGAGACATGGCCCAGGGGCATGTTAGCGAGGGACACCTTGGCACCTTCGCCATCCTAAGCCACAGATCTGGCTGTGCCCAGCAGAAGGACTGGCAGAGCTCCCTCCATAGCCACCTCTCACTCAGTGGAGGGAAAGCTAGGGGCCCTAAGTGGAACAGGGATTTCACCAAGGTCCTCCAGCCCGAGCAGGGCCTGTCGTTGACCAGAGAGGAGCTGAGGACTCCAAATCTGCCCTTGGGTAATCTTTGCTATCCTGATGGCTGAGGGACTAGGCAGGTCGGGTGGGGCCTGCAGGCCCATCTTCCAGTTCGATGCCAGTGCACATCTACCTCCCAGCCTAGAGAGGAGCTGAGGACTCCAAATCTGCCCTTGGGTAATCTTTGCTATCCTGATGGCTGAGGGACTAGGCAGGTTGGGTGGGGCCTGCAGGCCCATCTTCCAGTTCGATGCCAGTGCACATCTACCTCCCAGCCTAGAATATCCCCCAAAGTACAGTAGTCTACTCCCTCCTTGTCCCAAAGACACAGGGTGCAGCCTGAGATGCCAGGATGAAGGGTTTGTGCTGTATCCACAGGGCACAAGGGAGCTAGCGCAGGCTCTGGAGCAGACCTGGGCTAGGACAAGCTTCTTGCTTTGGAGGGGCACTTTGGATGGCCTGGAAGAGTAAAGACTAAAGGCCAGGGGCTAAATAGAGCCATCGGCCTGTATTTCATAATGTGGGTCTGAGAGGAGAGCTGGAGCTTCCTTCCAGGGTAGTGCTATCGGAGGATGGAAGGGGCTGTCATGGTAGAGAGTGAGCTCCCTGTCATGGAGGTGTACAAATAGAGGCACAGGGCGGTGCCACAGAGCGGGATGAGGCCCGGGATGGTGCTGACTTGATGTTCCTTCTTGCCCTGCAAGGTTCTCAGGCCCCTATGTGATTGTATGTGCTGTTTCCCTCAGAGATCGACAGGTTTTTCATGTAGATGACTTTGCTTTCAATTTAGCAACTATTTATTTCCTGCTGGTCTTGGATTTAAAATCTGGAAGCCAACCCCACAAGAGCAATTGCCAGGCTCCAGACAGATAGGTCTGGTGAGGGATGTTAAAGCATAGAACTGGACCCCAGCTCGAGGACAGACTCTGACTGCCCAGTCCCCAGGGCTAGAGGGTCATCCTCAACCAGGTCCTGGGGACAGGGAAGAGGTAGCTGAGCACCTTACAAGAATGAATTTACTCTATGAATCTACTCTGGGCACGGCTGCTGGGAGAAAAGGCACTGTCACCCACAATAATCGTGTCTACTCTCCTTGCCCTGGGGCACTTGGGAAGGAACGGTGACAGGTGATGAGGCCAGCTAGGGATTTAATAAATAAGACCTTGAAGGGAGCCTTCAAAGCAGGCCTGAAAGGGCAGACACTACACAAGTGGGGACCGTGTCAGATATGTGACACCCTGGCAGAAGCCCTACACCCAGAGACAGGGCCAGTTCTCACAGGGCCTGACTGCCCCTTTGGCAAAATCACCTTGGCAGACACTGCCCTTCATGTCCCTCAGTATCTTCCACATGGAAACTGATACAAGTCCTCTTAGAACTTTCTGCCTTCCTTTCTCAATTAACTGGTCTGTTTCCTTTGATCAAACAGTAAGTGTTCTGCAATACATTCTATTTCCCCTTTTACCTTGGCTGCGAGGGAGCTCTGAGCTAAACTAGGAGCTCAGCTAGTGCAACCTCCATAGCAAACGTTTCTAGTATTTCCTTACTTCCTCCATCTGTGCTGCTGCTCTTTAGGGAATGGTGTAGCTCCGTGGAAAGAGAATGGGCTCTGGAGTCAGATAGGCCTCAGTTTGAAGCCTGGCTCTGCCTCTCATGAACCATGTAACCCTGGGCAAATTGCTGCACCTCTCTGACCCTCAGCTTCTTCATCAGAAAAATGTCCTACTGTGTGGGTTGCTGGGAAGACCAGCAGTGAAATGATGTGTGATGAGAGTCAGGAACACAGCAGGCTCACAACAGATGGTAGCTATGACTTTTATCCCTATTTTCATCATCTGACCATACCCGTGTTTTTTGTTTTAAGACCTACCCACCACATTTTAGAAGTAGGTACAAAATGAATTATAAATAAATAACACTGGGGCCGGCCCGGTGGTGCACTGGAGAGTGCGCCGCTTGGGAGCACGGCGGCGCTCCGCTGAGGGTTCGGATCCCATGTGGAGACCGGTTCCTGCTCACTGGCTGAGTGTGGTGCGGGTGCAACACCGAGGGTTGCGATCCCGTTACCGGTCAGTAAAAAAGACAAAAAGAAAAAAAAAAAAAAAGGAAAAATAAATAAATAACACTGAACATTGTGAGGACAGGGACCCTGGTACAGAACAAAAGCTCAAAAAAAATTGGTAGGACTGAAGTTCTTCAGATGGTTTCAGCATCCATTTTTTATTCATTTTTTTTTTTCTGGAAGCTTTCCAGTACAGGGATCCAAACCCTTGACTTTGGTGTTGTAACACCGCGCTCTAACCAACTGAGCTAACTGGCCAGCCCACTCTCATCGTTTTAAAGCTCACTTCCTCACTGTCTGTGAGATTGTGGAACAATATTTTCTGACCCCAATAAAATGCCCCTCATAGCATTTTATAGTTCCCCCCAAAGACAGACTTTCCCATGAGAATATGAATCGCACTGGAGCTCCTTTAGATGGGTGGAAGCTATTATGCCCATTTTATTTATTTATTTTTTAAATTATTTTTATTTATTTATTTATTTATTTTCCTTTTTGTCTTTTTTCATGACCGGCAACAGATCGCAACCCTCAGTGTCGCCCCCGCACCTCGCTCAGCCAGTGAGCGGCCGGTCTGTATGTGGGATCCGAACCCTCGGCGGGAGCGCCACCGTGCTTCCCAAGCGGCGCACTGTAGCAGTGCGCCACCGGGCCGGCCCTATGATGCCCATTTTATAGGTGGGAGAACTGAGGCCCACAGAGCGGAGGAGCGGTGCCACGTCTCACAGCACCTAGAACTTCTCCTGCTCAGTCTAACTTAACACGCCCCCTCACACTGGCCTCACCCTGGGAGCACCAGAGTCGGGTACAGACACTGCCCCAGCATCCCTGCTCCAGTCCCGCTCTCTCCAGGAAAGGGAAGCACCTCATGGGCCGACACTCACCGTGGCATCTTCAGAACAGGAGGCAATCTCGAAGTCATCGAAGGGGTTCCACTTGACATCTAAGACGTTCCCTTTGTGCCCGCAGACCTTTGGGTAGTGGGGGTCCAACTTTCCTGTCTGCAAAACAGTGCCCAGAAAGATTGAGGAGGAGGCTAGTTCAACATTAGCACCTGGATGGTCACTCAGTCAGTCAGCAGTCACAGAGTAAACAGGAAAGTGTAAGGGACTGAACTGGGTGAGTCTAGGCCTTACCACTCATCCCCTGTGGGATCCTGGGGGGGTCACTTCGGTTCTCTGAGCCCCAGTGTCCTCCTTGGTAGGATGGTGGCAATGATAGGTATTTTGCAGGTTGGCATGAGGATCACAGGGGATGAGGTGTGGAAAGGTTTGGCACAGTGCTTAACACATGGTGATTGTTCAGTAAAACGGCATTTCCCTTACACTGCTGCTGGGACTGTGAAATGGTGCTGCCCTTTTGGAAAATCGTCTGGCAGTCCCTCAGAAGGTTAGCAGATGACCCAGCAATTCCACTCCTATGTACATCCCTAAAAAAAGTGAAAACATGGGTCTACAAAAAAACCTGTTCACCAATGTTCATAGCAGCATCATTCATAATGCAAACTTGTGGAAACAGCCCAAGTGCCCATCAGGTGATGGATGGATACACTAAATGTAGTATATTCATACAATGGAATATCATTCAGCCAAAAAAAGTATGAAGTTCTGATACATGCTACAGCATGGACGAACTTCAAAAATATCATGCTAAGTGAAAGAAGCCAGATACAAAAAGCCACATGTTGTATGAGCCCACTTAGATGAGGCACCAGATGTGGTTGCAGTGCTTGAACAAATGAACACATCGCCTGGTACCTGGTATGCAGAACCCTGACTGATGCAGATGAAAAATCCAGGATAGGTAAATTTATGGAGACAGAAAGCAGATTAGTGGTTGCTAGGGCTGGGGAGAGGGAGAAATGGGGAGTGACTGCTAATGGATGTGGGGTTTCTTTTTTCTTTTTTTTGAATTTAAACTCAAGTGTATGATTGATTTTATTTATTCATTTTTTCCAATTTCATTTATATTTATTTTGGGGGATGCAGTGTGTTGTTGTAATACATGAATATACTGCACAATGATTCAGTTAGGGTAGATAGTACAGTGTTGTACCCATTAGTCCTGGTGTGGGGTTTCTTTTCAGAGTGACGAAATTATTTGGAAATTAGACAGTGGTGACAGTCGCACAACCTTGTGAATATACTAAAATCCACTGAGTTGTACACTTTAAAATGGTGACTTTTATGGTATGTGAATTATATCTCAATTAAAAAGAAAGGGCATTTCTCTCCTTTTTCCCCTTTCCTGCTGAGAATTTCTGTATAGGTACTAGAAGGGACACATCGGTCCTGTAGACCATGCCATGCAGCTGGGAAGCTGAGATTTCCAACTCCACCAAAGACTTGGATTGCCTGGGGTCACGGAGTACCCCACCGGTCCAGCCACAGAAACTTGGGACTGGCAGTGACAGGTCCCTCATTTTGCACATCACCTGGCACGGCCTTGGCAGAACAGGGAACAGGGGCCAGGATCCAGGCCTCTGCCTGCCAATGCAGCCATCATCCATGTCCACTGTCCAGCCTCAGGTCTTCAAGCACACCCCCCAGAAGGCCCCCCTGCCCATTTTTATATCTGAGTGACAGAGACGGCTTAGAAGAAAACTGACCAAAATCTATCCATTCAGCAAATATTCATGACCTATCTAGAGGACAGGCCCTATTCCAGGTGCTAGACGCAAGGTGAACACAAAACTGTCCTTGACCTTGCAGAATCAGTAGTCTCAGGATTTTTTGCAAAGGAACTTTCAAAAACAGGGTGGGCTCGGGGAACACTCAACTTCCTCTCCTTCTCCCACCTCCCCTACTCTGCAGAGACCACTGCATTTCTTTCTTTTTTTTTTCCTTTTTGTCTTTTTTCGTGACTGGTAACGGGATCGCAACCCTCGGTGTCACGCCCACACCACAACCGGCAATGGGATCGCAACCCTCGGTGTCGCGCCCGCACCGCGCTCAACCAGTGAGCGGACCGGTCTATACATGGGATCCGAACCCTCGGTGGGAGCGCCGCCGCACTCCCAAGCACCACACTCTACCGAGCGCGCCACCGGGCTGGCCCGAGACCACTGCATTTCTGTGTGATGCCGCTGAGGCCGCACCCAATCGTGACTGAGCAAAGATGCAGCGGTGATCCCTAACCTTGCTTAATAAGGCTGCTAAGCAGGCAGGGCTTTGGGGGTCACCTCC